ATTTTTACTTACTTCTTTCGATCCTCAAAAATGGGCTTTCACATGAACCTTACACTTTGACAAACTCTCACTAGAAACCCAGATAGCCGAGCAAGTGTTGCCTTCTATAGATTCAATTCATATTACACAGATTTAGAATAATTTAGGATTTGCACTGATAGCAGCATAAGAAAAAGCACTATCTGCCGGTCATTTTTATCCAAAAACGAACTATTAAGCTTGAACACAATCAAAATACAACTGGTTCGTCCTACAAAATGAGAATGGTCATCACCTAAAAACAGAGCAAGACTCTCAATGTAAAACAGACAAAAACGCGGTTTGCCCATGTTCAATGAAGGCGTTAATCGCATAAGCTGTGAACTTGCATGGTAATAATGTAAGTTATATCAACATGCACACACCCTATGGTACATATAGAAAACAAGGAGAAAACAGCAAAACAACACAAACACATAAACACCCACACAAGGAATGTCACAATAAATTAAGCAAATCAACGAACAGCTTATAAATAACTTCGGCTCATATTACAATCATATGTTACTATTATTAAGATAAAGACAATAAGAAAACAGTAAAAGTAGATGATAGTTGAACTCGGTAATAAATAACTCGTATTATGCTAAAACCAAAGCATGAGACCATCAAAATTTGTAAGACGCAGAAGAACACATAGAGACTAGGTGTCAAGCGTAATTAAGATAAGAACACTGCAACGGCAGAATATGTCTAGAAAAGCGATACAGAGAGGTTGATCTTATGGACCTGAATCCTACAAAGTTTCAGCTAGAAAAGGCCGCCATTTTACACATCGCGCCTACGAATGAGCTCGCTAATGATATCGTCTTGATCACGAAGATGAGCGATACATGGAGGCATCTCACCCCCAAATAATACCTGAAGAACAAGTAAAGACAAGTAAGATAGTAGTTGATTGACCATGATACATCAAAAAGAAAGAGAAGGTGTAATGAAACCATCTAGGAACAATTTCGTCTACATACTGAGATAAAGAAAACCTCAGTAAAAAAGGCGAACAAAAGAATACTTACATCAACAACATTGAGCAGGTATTTCCTGAATGGGTGACTGAAAGGCACCACTGCTCCGGCCTCGAGAATTTCGATAAATAATTTGTGCAGTTGCTGAGAAGACATTGTAGCGGGATCAGTGCGATACATTTTCGGAAAGAATCGTCGCATTCCAGAGGAATCTCTATGTGGTTTATCTTGTTCTGAAAATAAATTCTTTAAAGCTTGCTACGAATTCAGAGATACATGAGAGAGACGAAACTGACTATCAGCAACAGGATAAGAATTTAATAGGTACATATAAGGTAACACTGTTCCTAACAAACTAAAAGATTTTTGCATCCATTCCCATATCACAGCCACACAATAGCTTTGTTTTTATCTGCGAAATCTTTCTATCTTTC